AATTCATTCTTGGTTTTAAGGATACTTGCACTAATGGGTATGAAATGCAGATCTCTAATTATGGCCTTTTAACATTTTGTCTCATGTTACTAAAGAGAACTCATTTCTATTAATTTATGGTATTATAACAGTTGTTGCTAATAATCATTCAGCGCTCCTCCTATTTGACAAAGAGTTCTCCACATACCTGATTTAGAAATGAGTGAAACTTCTGTATTTTTAGAGATGAACAGGATTAGTGTAGAGCATACACCTTAAAAACCGTCTCCCCTACTCATTGGAACTGGTCCAAAGGAAAACATTTTAACTGCAAGATTTCGAAGGAATCCTGACCAGAGGAGAAAATAATATCCATATGAAGCTCGCAAATGGAGTAAGAATAGTACATTTACAAGGAGAAAGGGAGCAGGAAAAGGCAGAGGAGAATAAAAGAAGGCAGGGAAAGATGGCAGCAGCAGAAGGAACAGCTCTGGCTCAGGAGGAGGAAAGACAGCTCTCGAGGACCTGGGCGTGAAGAACAGCACAGCCGGGCCCTTCAAGAGTGTTGTCCTCCCCCATCATACCTTCTGGGCAGAGGGCGGAGAGGCAAGCCTGTGCTCATAGCAAGACACTCTGCAAGACTCAGAAATACATTTAATAAGGTCTCGCCACTCAAGGAGCAGCTGATGAGACAGACACGATGAATCATAATGATGGCAGGAGGCAGAATACAAGTGCTTCTCACTAAGGTAGCTGAAGGGGGTTCACTGCTTCACTTAGAATTGGGGTACAGAGTCATTGGCTATGTAGAAAAAAAGCTGGAAGGCTGGTGAGTAAAAATGCAAAATATTAGTTTAAAATTGAATTGTGTTCTAAAAATCCAGATTAAAGGAATATATACATATATAAAATTTGCAAGATGTAATGAACGTGTATCAAGGCCAAATAATTAAATACAAACTCCCTTTACTTACATGCCAAGATCTGAGCTCATAGGTCTGGATAAATAATAAGCTATAGTTCATTGACCTGTTTGGGTATTAATGAGCTCATCAAATTTTTTTTTCAACAATCACAGACATTGCTGTACTTGGAAAATTGTAAGTAGAAAGTCAGGTCAACATTAATATTCCTCTGCTAGTTTAAATCTACATTTAAGGCATAATTTTATAAATTAAAATGTCAGGTTATTTATTTTGAGATTACCTACAGACGTTCAATTGTGCATTTCACAGACTTTTAATATCCTTTTGTGTCTCCATATAAGACATTTATCTGCGTTGAAACCTTGAAATCATTTGTAGATATACTTTTTCTTTTATTGGCTATGCTAAGAATATTTACCTGTGGGAACTATAATAATTCCAAGCAATTTACTGTCTGGCCAAAAGTATCACATTTGCACATGATTTATTGATGAAGAACTTGTGTGAGCTTAAGTAGCACTTCATCAATAAATGTTTTCCTTAGCCATTCTGGGACAGAAACATTGCATCCCTTTTTGGCCTAGATTATAGGGACTTACCCTAAACAGTTGAAAAACTCAAGATAGTTATTCAATAATTAGACTATTTTAAGAACCCCTTTGCCATGTTCACTGGGAGGATATTATTGGAGAGGCAGTTCACTACCTAACTCACAGTCTGCCCTGCTAAGTCTTCAGGGAGAAAATTCTTTCTGCTCTTAGCCTCAGGATCAGTTACACTCATTGGCAACTGGGTTATTTCTATCTCATGGTGGTAAGAGTCTTTCCCTCACTGTATTAACTCAACAGTATTTCTCTCTCTTTACTGGTTGCTAGAAAGCCTAAAGCAAAAGCTGAGGGCCCTCTGTGTAAGTCAGTAAGACCACACCATGCATTGTCTATGTTCTAATAAGTAATATAAATTATTATTGCCAATACTTTCCATGTGTTAGATTTCACTTAATATTCATAATAATCCTAAAATGTGGGAACTTTTATTTTGCCATCTTGACCAATGAGGAAAAAAAAGCCTAGATTGGTCCATCAACTCCCCCAAGGCCACTGAGCTAGTAAGTGGCAGATCCTGACTCATCTTAAGTCTTTCTGACATTGAAGATCATGCTTCTAACTGCTGCTCTGCTATTCTGCCTCCTGGCCTGGCTGATGCTTAACTCTTTTTTTCCTTTTACTAATGAAATATGGTTAATAGACCATAATTCTTTGGATAAACACCAGGGCTCTTCCAAATCTTCTTTCAAAGGCCACATACAACCACCAATGCCCATCTGGCTCAAACCACCCAAGTGCTGGGTAACAAAGTTCCCCACTAACAGACTTGTCCCCAGATGACATGCTCTTCAAGAGTAGAGATCGTGGGCAGCTCTGTGGTTCAGTAACGGAGTAGAGGTACTGCCTGGAAGGCCTCCGGAGTCTGGACATCACTGCTATGTATGCTGGGCTGGGCCGCCATGCTGACTGCATGATTTGTGCATGAAGACACCTGTCAATGGGGGTGCAGGATCGTGGGGCATGAACTCCAGCCTGTGCTCCGTGCTAATATTTCCGAACTCCCAAGATATGAATCTTCAAGATTCAGAATACGAAGTCAGCATTACCAAGAAATTCCCAGGAATTATGGAAATCAAAGTTACTCCATACTTTTTCCTAAATTTTACGTACATTTTTAAAAATAATAACGATGACCACAACAGAGACTAATTTCCATATTAAACAGTGAATTATTTTTTGTGGTAGAGATGCTAAAAATTTCAGAGGCTTTCTATAAAAAAAAACTACATATTGTAGTAACATGTAAAAATGATCTTCACCTCTTATTTGATAACAGAAAACACTGAAACGGGGAACATTAATGCAAAATAAATGCCAAATAAAAGCCATTTTAAATACCGAAAAACCATATAAAATATTTTCTGTTTATAAGATATCATTCTTAAAATAAAAATTTAAAGCACCCAACCATTAATTGTCCTATCTGACAATGTTAGGTTTTGTTTCCTGATAAATATTCCAGATGTAAGAAAAAAAAAAATTCTTTCATTTTACATTGATATTGGTCAAATTGTTCAGAGGCTTTGAAAAGCACAGCCAAGGTGGGCATTAGGGTGTGCTTCACATAAACTCATTTCCTTCTTTAACGATAAAAATATTTTATCCGCTTGCCCTGATTCTGGTTTGGCCATTGAAGTCTATGTTGTTTTTGCTAATTTGGATTTTAGATCAGTTTCTGGTTTTATAACGGAGCGTTCCACAACATATTTACATCATCTTTTCCTGGCATTTCTTCTGTTAAATTACTAAGAAAGAACACATTGTAATGCATAATATATATACAATAGCAAACATCCAAACACTGAGAAAACGCCAGCAGACATTACCGGGTAGCACATCCAAATAACGTAACATTCAGATCTCCTTAGCATGCTTGACAAGACTACATAGCATCACAGGTGGAAAGTTCAAATTTAATGACTTACTTTGCTTCCAAATTTGTTCTTTCTTGGAACACCACTAATAGGATTTGTATAAAGTATACCATGCATATAAACTCATTAATAGTTTTGCAAGAATGACTCACCGTTAGCAGCAGACACACTAGTTTAGAGCACGATGACAGCTACAAGCAGGCTGACGGATTAGATTGTGACCACTTCTCTCCTACTTGCTCCTGTCCTGAAGCTTGGAAATGCCTGCTTTCACCTTTGACTCTGCTGTCAGTATTTTTTGTTTTTTGAGTTTTTTTTTTTTAACTTTATTGAGGAATAATTTACAAATATAATTGTCTCTATTTAAAGTGTACAACATGCTGATTTGATATATATCTACACTGTGGAATGATTACCAAGATCAATATAATTAACTGCTCTTGTTTTCAATGATGCCAGTGGATTACTTCATATCAGTAAGGTCTTTATGATGATGATTAAATTTTAATTCTCAAATGAAAATTAGAATACTTTTTTCCCATTTTCCCAATTTTTTGACTAGTTTTTCTTGGGATTCAGGATTCAGAAAAGCATATCACTTCTTTTTTTCTGAGAACTGCAGCTAAAGCTGTGACCATCAGAGGAAAGGGGCATATTTTTCTTGTAAGAAAACCTTTTTTTGGCTGACTTATGCCTACAAGGCCGTGTCCATGCAGAGGGCCTTTGTTGAATTCACAAAAATGTGCTATTTTACTTGAGAAAAACCTTAAAGGCACAGGAAAAGAACGCTTTAGCACTTTAGGAGTCACATAAATATCTTTAAATAATATGCAAAGCCACCTGCAAATACCCATGTTGATTTGACCAAAGATATGGAAAAGCAGGAGGAAAACATGAGATAAGTCAAATGTTTTTACAAGTATTTCTAGACTACAGCTTTAGACATGGCCCATACATCATCAATATTATTTGTCCAATATCAGAAATTAATATTAACCTGGATTTTAGCAAATCATTTTCCTTAATTTGCCCCCACCCAAGTACTTAAATAAAACATCATATGGGTCGGTTATTATGTAAAATGTTTTCATACACCCATGATCTTGCTTAAGAGAATAATGGAAATAGGCCAATACACATTTTATGCATCTACAATGCATCAGACACTATACATGTTTCAAATGTGTTTTCTCAATCCTTAAAGTAATCCTATAGGATAGATATTAATTTTATTCCATGGGTTGAGAAAAATAAGGCTCAAAACCATAACTTTTCAACAGCCACACTGTTGGTCATGCAGCCTAAAATTTAGTCTAAGTCCAACTTCCAAAATCCATGTTCTTTCCACAACACCATGCTGCAAATCAAAAAATGGTAGCAAGTCACAATATCTGGTGGCTGCCATGACCCACTGCCTACTCCCCGGCTAGAGAAAGGGCCGCCTGGCTGCTCAAGGTTATTAGACCTTCCCTCGTATACACTTAACTAAAACTAGGGATGCTTACTACCCTTATTTGAAAGAGACATACGATAAACTTGGAAGGAGAATATACAGTTTTGAAAAAAGGATTTAAAATAAACATTGCAAACATAGTACAAAAGATCTGTCTTACCTTTAAATATTTCACCAGCTTCTGAATTTGCCAATATTCCGATGGCAAATCTGCATTTGCTTCCTGACGATGATCAGGGGGTTCTTCATCTTCTTCACTCTCTGAGGAGCTTTCACTAACAATTTCCTCAATCTTGTCAGCATTCTTACTAAGAACAATAACAACAACAGCATATAATAAACATATTCATGCTACAGCATGGACATGGTTGTACTGTTACTCTTTCAGAAACATATACATAGGTGATGAAAATTCTCAGAAAATCAAGAACAGAGGGGAACTTCCTCAACTTGATAAAGAATGTATACAAAAATCTATACTATCTTCACACTTAATGGTGCAACACTGAATGCTTTCCCCCTGAGATCTAGAACAAGCATGGATGTCCACTTTGGCCAATGGCTGTTCAACATAGTAGTGGAGTCTCTAGTTTTAGATACAAATCTAACAAAACTTGTACAGGACATGTATGCTGAAAACTGTGAAACGCTGGTGAGAAAAACCAAAGTCCTAAATAGACAGACACAGTGGTCATGAATTAGAAGAGTGTACATAGTTAAGATTCCAATTTTCCCAAAATTGACAGAGGTTTAATGCAATTTCCATCAAATCCACAGTAAATCTTTCTGTAGATATAGCAAGATTATTTTAAGTTTATATAGAAAGGAAAGGAACTAGAATAGCTAAAACAATTTTTGAAAAAAGAAAGTGAGAAGAATCACTTTCCAGACTTCAAGATTTACTATACAACTACAGTAATCAAGACAGTGTGGGTATTGGTGAAGGGCTAGATATAAAAAATGAACTAATTGTAACAGAGACCCAGAAATAGACCCATATATGTACACCCAACTGACATTTGACAAAGATGCAAAGCAATCCAATAGACAGCCTTTCCATCAAATGGTGCTGTAATAACTGGACTCCTTATACAAAATTAACTCAAAATGGATCACAGTCTTTACTGTAAAAGGTAAAACTATCAAAACTTTTAGAAAAAAAATCATTTTCAGCCCTGCGGGTTTCATGACAAGTTCTTAGACATGACATCAAAAGCACAATCCATAAAAAAATGATAAACTGAACTTCATCAAAATTAAAAACTTGTTCTATGATAGACCCTACACATTAAGAGGATGAAAAGACAAGTAACAGAGAGGAGAAATATATGCAAACTACATATCCAACCAAGGATATCATAAAGAATTCTCAAAACTCGACATTAAAATAAACACAAATGATCTGATTGGAAAATGAGCAAAAGACATACAGAGACATTTCATTGAAGAACATATACAGATGACAATAAACTCATAAAAAAAGTTCGACATCATTAATCATTAGGAAAATGCTAAGACCACAATGAGACATCAGTACATATCTTTAAGAATGGTTAAAAATACACGGCAATAGCAAATACTGGCAAGGATAAGGAAAAACTGAGTCTCATACATTGCTGGTGGGAATGTAGAATGGTACAGCCACTCTGGAAGAATCTGGCAATTTCTTAAAAAGCTAAACACATGATTACTATATGTGCCAGCAACTGGGCATTGATCCTAGAGAAATGAAAAACTTATATCCATACAAAAACTGTATATGACTGTTCATAGCTGTTTTATTATTAATAGCCCAAAGCTGCAAAGAACTAAAATTTCCCTCAATAGGTGAATAATTAAACTATAGTACATCCATACCATGGAATGCTACTTAACAATAAAGAAAGAGCCTAATAGAATAGTAAGAACTCCATTAATTAGCATTAACAAGCCCACTGTGTAAGAAATGGCTTTAAAGAACTTTTTGTGTCAACAGAAACATAATGAACTAACAGTGCTCTTCCAGGCGAAACAGATGGTGCTGACTTTTCAAGTTTTCCTCCATGTTTCTCCTCTTGGGTGTCTCTTTGTAAGATTTTGCGACTGAAAAAAAAATTTCCTTTATTATTTTATACTGACCAACAGAATATTACAAATAGAAATGCATACAAATATTCCATCATTTCCATGCACCCAAATGATGTGTTTTCTTGACACAGACAATGATGATGAGTTCTAGCCTCATGTGACATTCTTTCGTCCTTCGAGCACAGCCATGCATTTTATATAATGAAGGAATGTTTTGTCCAGTATTTCTTTGTACTAGAAACAGGTCTTCACAGGCTGCCATTGTTGTGAAAGCCCATCACTCTGTTCCTTCTAACCTAGCGGCTTACTGCCCTGATTACAGTTACCTATTTTCTTACCTTCCTTACCCAACCTTAGAGCAGCGCCTTGTCTGGTTTTCCAGGTGTTCCCAGGTTTAGCACAGTCCTTGGCATCTACAGGGTTTTCATTAAATGCTTAAGTAAATTCTTAGTTTAAAAAAAAATAAGCACGTGGAAAAAGCAGAATTTAAAAGTTCACCTCCCAGTCAGTCAACAGAGTAGCCCACATTTGTCATTTTCAGATTCACACTTTCAAACAGAGTCGCAAAGAGCAAACACCCCCAAATCAACAAGAATCAGGGGAGCAGGAGTATCTCCTCTTTCTACAGGACTCCCTCCTCCTGTCAGTTCTCTGAATTTGCCTCCAGAAGATAAACATCCCCTGGTGCTCAGAAACCCTGCAGGGGAGGGTTCTGGTGTGAGCGGCTGGGAGCTTAACCCAATCAGATGACAAGATAGGACATTAAAAATAGGCTGAAACTTATAAAAAACAATGCTAAATTTTAAAAAGTGCTCAGCCTTCTGACTGCCTTAGCATTTACATACCACTGGCCCTTAATCTCTACTTTGATACCTATTAACAGAGGGTCCTAAGTGAAACTGGTCTTGTATATTTCAGACATTGCATCAAACCAGTGTCCACTTAAGCCTGTTAATATTTTTGAGGCTTTAGCCTTTTCACAGTATTTACTTAAAGTTCTGTTACTAGAGGAGACATTATCTCCATGAAGGTTTCTCTAATTAACTCACATAAATTTAACCACATAATTTTCATCCAAATTCCCCTGGCACTTACTTAAGTCCCTATCACTGTTTCCGTTTCCCAAGCGATTTTTCCATGTGTTTTATCATCTTTTTCACATGTAATTTGCCGACTCACCAACGACGTGAAAGTGAATTATGTTCTTCTCTTCCCTTCACAGTGCCCACTCATAAACCCTGTTGACTGTCAAATCTATCTACTTGAAGTATGAAGAGGAGCAGGAAGGAACCCACTTGTATAATAAAGGGAGATTTTTGGTTTTTTTTTTACTACTCAGTATTATACTACTATGAAATAAAGTTGTGTGAAAAATTAGGCAAATGTGGTTACTGAAGACGTTTTAAAAATCCCATCATGCAGATGTCTACATACTCTTTGAAATCGACAGTGGTCTTCCAGTTTAAACTCGGCTCTAATCGCTTGGTCATTTGATTCTTCCCCAAATTAATTTGGTTCTTCAGCAAACTCTTGCCTGAACCAGTAGTAGCTTTACGTAAGGAATCTGCTTCTTCCTTCTTAGGTGCCTCGTGAGGCTGATCCTTTTCCTTTTGCTGTTCTTCATTGAGTCGTGTCTGCTTTATTAAAAAAAATTAAGATTAACATTTACAGTGATATCACTTTCAAATTATCTAGTGCTGTGTGAAAATTAACACTGGTGGTAAATTCAGAAAAGAAAGTATCAGATGCATCTAACTTGTATTGCTTAGTGACACAAACCGGATCAACTTCAGGACCAAGGCCTCTAGGGAAGATAGACTGACAGTGATATGATGTCCTAAACTTCACCTCTGCTGTAGCACAGATACAACAGCAGGGCTGGACTGCCTCACTCCTCACCACTGCTAAAAAAAACCCTGAAATTCAAACCCTATGTTGACTGGGATGCATCATATTCAAATTGCTGAAGCCAAGGATAAAGAGAACATCTTACAGGGGGCCAGATGACAGACACATGACAGAGGAGGAAACATAATGGTTAAGAGACTGCTCATCATAAACGATGCAAGCCCGAAAGAAAGGGAATTAATTATAACTTTAAAGTACTAAAAGAGAAAACAAATACTCAAAACCTGTCAACCGAAAATTCATACTGAGACAAAAAAAAAGTCTTTCAAAGATGAAGGTAAAAATAAAGACGTTCGCAGATGAACAAAAACCGAGAGAATTCACTACCAGAAGGCCTGTGCTAGAGGAAATGGTAATGAACTTCTTCAGAAGTAATATCATATCAGACAGAAATGTGGATCTACACAAAGAAATTAAAATCTGTAGAAATGGTAAAAATAAATATAAAAGACTTATTTTTAATCATTCTAAAATATAAAATAGTAATAGTGTTTTGAGGGATTAAAGCATGTAAAAGTAAAATGTATGACGACAATAGCACAAAGGATAGTGAGAGGCATTCAAGATACACTGTTATAAGGTTCTTAAAATATTTATGAAATTACATTATTTAGTCATATATAATAATATACATATATATGCCCTAAGGCTGCAACTAAGAAACTTTTATAAAGAAGCAAAACTGATTTACTAGTAGCATAACTAAAATGGGTCATTTGTAAGAGCTCAATTCAAAAAAAAAACGGAAAAAAGAAATGGCACAAATAGAAAACAACTAACAAGACAGTAAATTTAAATTCAACTTTATCAGTAGTTAGATTAACTGAAAATGGTTTAGAAACTTCAATTAAAAGAGAAATCATCAGATTGGATGAAAAAGGAAACCATGACTGTTTGTAGTCTAAAAGAAACCACTTTATACATAAAGTTATAAATACATTAAAAGTAAAAAGTGGGAGAAGATATTCCATAGAAACGATAAAAGGAAATAGGAATTGCCTATTAAAATCAGACAAAATAGACTTCAAAACAAATATTATCAAAGATAAAGAAGGAGACATATAATGACAGAGTTGATTAACACACAATTAGAATTGATTAACAACTCTGTCGTTATATGTTTCCTTCATATATTAGATGTAAACTTCAAAATATTAGATGTAAAAACAGAACTAAAAGGAAAAATAGAAAAATCTACATTGGAAGAATTCAAAATACTCTCTCAGTAATCAATAAAATGAGCAGACAAAAAAATTAATAAGAATATAGAAGAGCAACACTATTAATCAATTTGACTTCACTGATATTTATAGAACATGCCAGCCAAGCAGCAGAATATATACACATTCTTCTCAAATGCACAAGGAAAAAATCAGCAGAATAGATCATAATCTGGGCCATAAAACAAATATCAACATATTTAACAGAACTAAAATTATAACAAAATTATCTTCTCTTAATACAATGGCATTAAACTTAATACAATGGCAGTAACATTACCACCTCCGAGCAGTGATGGGCTCACCTCCCATGGTTTAAGTTGAGGGCCCCTGGGAAGAATGTAATAAAGCACCCTCCCCCTCCTACCCAAGACAGTGTCAGTGGAGGCCCAGTAGGGAGACTGAACTTCCACCCCTGCCCAGCGGTAATGAGGTACCCACATCACCAGGGTTGTCGACGGAGACGAAGTGGGGAACTTGGACTTTCACCTTTACCTTGCAGTTCTCCCAGCCCTCCACCAGTGAGGTGTCAGAGAAGGCCAGCTAAAACAAAAGATTTAAATCAAATCCAAAGTTTCACAACATCATGTCAACATTGTCTAAAATACAATAAAAAATCACTCATTTTACCAAGAACCAGGAAGATCACAACTTGGATGAGAAAGGATAATGAAAAGATTCTTATACCAAGATGAAGTAGGTGTCAGAATAATCTGACGAGAGTTTGAAGCAGTCATCAAAAATGCTTCAATGAACAATTAGAGACTTGAAACAAATGAAAAACTAGAAAGTCTCAACAAATAAATAGAAGATATAAAGAAGAACCAAATCGAAATTTCAAAACTAAAATTTACAAACCGAAATAACTCACTGGATAGGTTCAGGAAGAGGATGAAGAGGACAAAGAAGAGAATCCATTAACTTGTAGATAAAGCAAGAGAAATTACCCAATCTGAACAACAAAGAGAAAATAGATTGGAAAAAAACGAACATAGCCTCAAGATCTGTGGAACCATAATAAAAAAATCAACATGCATGTCATCAGAGAACCAGAAGGAGAGGGATAAGATCTGACTGAAAATGTATTCTAAAAATGTCTCAAATTTTCCCAAACTTGGAAAAAGATATAAATCTAAGATTTAAGAAGTTGAGCAAACTCTAAATACAATAAACCCCCCAAAATCCATGCCAAGACACATAACAATCAAACTCCATGAAACTAAAGACAAGGAAAATTCCTAACAGCAAGAAACAAACAATATTTTATCTATAAGGAAAAAACAATTAAAATAACTGATTTCTCATGAGAAACCATGGAGGCCAGAAGAACCTCCTGGAACAACATTTTACAAGTGCTGAGAGTAAAGAACTGTTAACCCAGAACACCATATCCCCAGAAAATATTCTTCAGGATGAAGGAGAATTCAAGGTGTCCTCAGATAAAGAAAAACTAAGAGAATTTGTCAACAATAGACCTACTCTAAAAGAGTAAGTTCTTAAACAGAAAGGATATGATAAAAGAAGGAAACCTGCATCATCAGGAAGGAAGAGAACAATGGTCAGCATAAAAGTAGAGGTAAATACAAAAGACTTTTTCCTTTTGAGTTTTCTAAATGATGTTTGATGGTTGAAGCAAAAATTATAACACTGTCTCATTAGTTATTGTATGTAGAGGAAATAGACAATTATATTATAAATGAGAGAGGATAAGGGGCTTAAAGGGAGATATGGTTTCTGTACTTCATGCAAACTGGTACAATGTCAAATAAGTAGATTATCATAAATTATGTATGCATAATGTAATACAAAATACCTATAGCAACCCCAAAACAATCTATACAAAGAGATACACTCAAAACACTATGGGTGAATCGAAATGGAATTTTAAAAAATGTTCAAGTAATCCAAAGAAAAACAGGGAAAAGAAAAATGAAAAACAGAAGTAATAAACAGAAAACAAAACTAAACTGGCAGACTTAAGCCCTTACATATCAATAATTAAATGTAAATGATCTAGACACAACAATCAGGAGATAAAGCTTCACAGAGTGAATTTAAAAAATGACTCAATTTATATGCTGTCTACAAGAAACTCACTTCAAATATAATGACGTATGTAGCTTGAAAGTAAAAGGAGAGAAAAATATATCATGCAAAGAGTTGTTAAAAGCAAGCAGGAGTGGCTATATTAACATCAGATTAAATGAACTTCAGGGAAAAAAAAATACCTAGGACAGAGAGGGACATTTCAGAACAGTACAATGGTCAGTCTATCAAGAAGACATAACAATCCTAAATGCATATGTCAAGGTGCAAATACCAAACGGACACAACTAAAAGGGGAAACAGAAACTATAATCTACAATTATAGTTGGAGGACTTCAATACCTTTCTCTCAGCAACTGACAGGAAATCAGCAAGAATACAGAGGAACTCAACATCAAAAACCACATGGTTTAATCCGCATTTATAGAGCACTCCACCATAGCAGAATACACATTCTTTTTAAGCATCTAAAGAACATACATCAAGACTATATCCTAGGTCACACAGCAAATCTCAACAAATTTTAATTAATTATAATAATTCAGTGAGTATTCTCTGACCACAATGGACTCAAACTAACAACAACACAAACATAATAGGAAAATCTCCAAATACTCGTACGCTAAACAACACATTTCTAAATAATCCGTGGATTAAAGAGAAAATTTTAAAAAATTTAAAACAATGAAAATGAATATAAAACATATCAAAATGTATGGGACACAGCTGAAGTTCTCTGAGGATAATTTATGGCATTAAATGCTTATATTAGACAAAAAACTCTCAAATCAATAGTCTAAGCTGCCGCCTTAAGAAACTAAAAAACAAGAGTAATGGAAAATCCAGACAGGCAGAACGATGTAAAAATAGAATGTAAAGAAATGGGATTGTACCTCCAAAGTGTCAAACACTATGGTGTGAACAGAAAAGTGAAAGCTGCCTTACATTTCACCATTGTCTTGTCCTCAGCGAAGCTTCTCTACAGCAGAATGTAGATTTAAGAGTTTTTCAACTAACATGAATATATTTAGTGTATGACACCCCTTCTTTCAAATGCTCCAAGTAAAATATTATTTACAACTGAAACCACCAAAATTCCTTTAAATGTAAATATGACTAGATTAAATGTATGATAAAAAGTGGGAAAAGCTAAATAAGAGTAAATGAAACCACAAGTAAAAAAGAAAAAAATAAATACAAAAGTAGAAAAAAAAGAAAAATAGAGAAAAATCGATGAATCTAAAAGCTAGTTCTTTGAGACAATTGGGAAAATTTATAAATCTCTAGCCTGATGGATTAAGAAAAAATAAAACACAATGACCAACATCAGGAATGAAGTGACAGTAGCTATAGATTCTACAGCTATTAAGAGGTTAATAAGAGAATATTATGAACAAATTTATACCAATTCAACAACTTAGATGAATGGACAAATTCCTTTAAAGCCACTCTACCAAAGCTCC